ACTGATTTGTAAGTATATTTCAGTTTTTGTACTTATTCCCATGTTACCGGTATTGCATCTTCTCATCAACTACAACAAGTGAATGCTTTGGCTAGAAGTCAGTCTTAAACACATATACCCAGTATTATAATTTAAATCAGTATTACCCAATCAAAAGTCCCCAACATGACATTTGAAATTATGTATTCAAATTTATTCACAAATAGTCACCAATCAGCATCTTTATATAGTATTGTTAACAGAAGTCAAATGGCCTATATGTGTATAGAATTTTTCGTGTGTTTTTTTTTTTATTTTTACAAAATCTATTAGTTTCTGGAATATTTAATTTCCATGTAAATGTACTTTCCATGTATTTTATTTCAATGTGAATAAATAAAATACTTGATAGATTTTGTATTTTATTTTATTTTTATTTATTTATTTTATTTATTTATTTTATTATATTTTGTATGTTTATTAGAAATATTACCATCAAATAATAAAGTATAATTGAAGGGAAATTGTGCCCCACTAGTTAACTAAAAAGACCACTTGAAATAGTACAATTTTATCGATATATTCACAATTATCTTAGCTACTATTGGATGAATGTAGCAATTCATGTGGTATCTCCTGAAACTACAGTACTAAAAATGTTGATATATCACCTGTAGATACCTGCTTCACTGAAAATAATGAAAATCAGGCAATTTTGTGGGCGTGGCACACATTAACTTGTAAATTAAATAAATATTAATATTTTATATTAAATAATATCGAATGATAGAATAAGCATCCATATCAATTTGTTTTCAAATCAAATTTGTTTGAAAGAGTTGTCTGCTGCCCTCAATGTTGACATTAGTGACACTAGTTGTAAATAGTCAAACAGCATCATGCAGTGGTAGGTGCTGTAAATCACAGCGTGTCATATTCTCTCATTGGAGTAAGAAAATAAAACATCGATTTGTATTTTGGGAATATTTAATGAGCTTGTTTTGTAACCCACTCTTTCTGCTTTGTTTATTTCAAAGAGTCGTCAAACAAAGAATCAATTTTGCACAGCATAATATCACACATAATACAGTGAAAATAATAATTTAAAAATGTAAATTTTGAATAAATATGATTGACAATCTTATATCATGTCACGAGAAAATACGTTAGAATTACTGAAAAGTTAACTTAAATGGCTGGGTCGTCACGAAGCGCGTGTTCGAGTGGCACATACCAGTAAACAAAGTATTTTGCTAGCGTTGTATACGTCGCTATCATGATGGGTCCCGTATCGAGCTGGACGGGCGACCAACGTGGCGACCCTTTAATTTTCAAATAAACCTCAAATAAATTAATATATGGCAATGACTTGTAACTTGATTCTGAGCATTACCGTTTTTGTTTTTCTCTCTTTTGCTTATTTTGTGTTCATCCTATCAGTGGTGTTTTTTCCCGAGTCTCTGTTGTTGTAACTGTATCGTTCTCTCTAGGCTGTCAAGATCTAACATCGGGATGCGGTTTCAAAAAACTATTAGTACCTAACACTAGTATTTTCTTAAAAAGTATTGACCTGTGTTTAGTTGACTAGAGTAGTATTCTGTCAAATATGTTGTTTTTGGCGGAGTACTGACAGTCGTAGTGATGTATTCTGTTAGGGAATCTAGTTCAGATTGAAACATTGAATTTCTGACCATCCTGGTTATTTCCGAAAAGTCCTTCCAGTGATCTGTGAGTCGTGTCCTTGCAGGCGGCACGAACTGTGTCTGCATCGTGCTGTTGTTGAATCAGAATCAGGGTCGCAACCAATGACCGCAAGGTGGCGCTCTGACCTCTCCTCTGTTTCCATAGTTGTAACATGGCGTGTTTCTGCTCCCGCATATTGCCTCTGTAGTCGCTCCCTATGTTGTGCACTTCGGCTTCCGAGAGGCCGAGATTGAGAGCAAGTCGTCTCCAGTAATCACCGATAATTCCTGCTATTTTATCGATTTGAAGGGTCGTTATTGGTTTGCTTGCATTCTGTGGCCATTCTGTAACAAAAATAGAGCCACGTTTAAAACAAAATCACGATGCTATAGCCCTCTATCGACGACCATTTCTGTGACGTAAATGGGTGCAAGGAACGCCATTCACTGCATTGACATTGTTTTGATCTTGTATCGTCCGTCAGTGAATAGTACTATTTAAAGGATTTGCGGGATTTTAGACGATGAAACACAGCCAAACAGATTTTATATTGACGTCACATAAACGCTTCGTCGATATAGGGTGCGATTATTTTTTTCAAAGGTGCATTGTTACGCGCAGACGATATTACCGATTTTGCGGGTTGGTGACTTAATAATATGGCGACAATACAATTAATAACAAATGCAACACGTATTCTAACCAAAAGATAAATATTTATCGAAAAATAATTGTGGATATGCTTCAACTGCTTATTATCGGTCGACACCAAACCATTTGTGCACATATTTAAACTTTTCTGACATTTCTCAGTGAATCCCGCCAGCCAACTGAAAAAAATACAATATCTTCCATTTCGACGTGAATTGTCGAGGTTTTACAATTGTAGTCGGTCGACAGGTGGGGGATTGAAACTCCACATTTCATCGTCTGCTGGTTTCAACTTATCATTTTACAGCACGAGGGTCTTGTTGTAAATTACAATTTTATAAGTTCATTTTACCGTTTACGACGTCGTGTAGGTGGGTGTTTGCCATCTCCAGTCTCTGTTCACGTGATCGACTTATAATCAGCTCTTCTTTGAGTTTTCGGAACTCTCTCTCCCTGGTTTCAAGCTGGGACTCGAGACTAGTACATCGTGCCTTGGACACCTCTAGCATACTCTGGGCTGAACTACTCTGCTCCCGAAGTGCGTCCACCTGTGACTCCAACAACCTTCAGACAAGTTAAAGAAAACATGTATATAATATTTATACTCGGTAAATATTTTCCCCGAAGACGTTTATGTGTCGAGTCGGTTAACAATTTTTGTCCCATGTTTCATTCATATGACCTGTCACCACTAACTTAGAAAACATTGCGACATCAGAAATGAAAAAAAAAATGAAAAAATGTTTTATTTCCGCATTTGACAGATCTATTATGACACACCCACATATTACCAACCTCGTGCTGTCAGACTGAGTGTCCAACTTTTGTTTCGTGAAGAAATATTTTCGTTTCGCATCTTGAATCTCTAACTCCAAACCCATAATTTTGTCTTTGCTTTTCTCGAGTTCGCCTTCAAGATCAGCGCATTTCTTTCTTTGCTTCTCCAGAGTCACTTTCAGCGTTTTGTTTTTCTTCGCCAAGTTTTCTAATTCACGATCAGCCCCGACTAGTTGGTCACGAGTACTATCCAAGTTCATCTGCATGGAGTAATTGTTGCGTTTCTCCTCGTTGTACCTATCTTTCAGACGTCGATACTGTCGTTTTGTTTTTCGGGAGATTTGTTCAAGGTGTTTTATATTGAACTGCGTGGTTTTGAGTTCGACTTCGAGGCCCTGTGATCGTCGTCTTTCCGACCCGATTCGCGACCTCAGGTCGGTGCACCGACTTTCCGATCGCCGCACTTCGCTTTGCAGGGAAGACAAGGTCTCGTCTGAGGTGACGCTTTGAGAAGGGGAAAAGGCAGGCTCGTACGAATCCAAGTCGTCTTCCACGCCGTCTATTTGAATCGATGGGAACGCATCAGAAAGACTCAGTGATCGCTTATTGTACCCCGACGACTTTTGCATCAAACGCCAGCGACGAGCTAAACGAAGACTCTCATACGCTTTCTCGTGTAAGTCGGGAATCAATCGAAGTATAAGTTCAAAATCGCTATTCCCTGCCTTAACACGTTCATTCTTTACGAGCTCAACGGTGTTTGAACTGAACAGGTTTATATCGATCGGTCCAGGTGCCAGCAAACCTTTCCAAAATAACAGACTCTTATCTAAATCTCTTCTAATCTCTCTCAAACGCCTGGCCGACCTTCTATCGTCGTCGTAAAAGAAGTCGAGAAGCGGCTTGTAGATACCGTTCTTGAAATTTTCCAATAGATACTCGAATCGATTGTAGATGTCTTGGAATTTGATAAGCATGTTGATTACACTTCCGTCTTTCATTACCGGATCCATCACCCCTATAATTAGAAAAATAAAGTCAACCATTTGATGCGTGTCCGTCTATATATCATTTCTATCATCATTTACGTATTAGAACGATTATGTAAAATATTTGAGTGTCTGAATTATACCTAATGTCAGATTTTCAATGATTGACAGAGCGTCCGAACGTTTGCGATCTTTTTGCCTTTTTCTTGTGTGTTTGTTCGTATTTTATTTGTTACCACTTTCGAATGCTTGTACACCTTATCTACTAAATCGCCCCCTGGCGACGAAGCGGTTCTGTGACGTAACTGAATATCAGCGAATGGCGCTCAATATCGTTTTGATCTGTAGTCATTCACTAAATGAATGTTAGAGAGATTTTGATATAATCTTGATGACAAGCGACTACGTTTTGAGACACTATAGTCTTCGCAGCGCCACGTGTTCGAATAGGGTCCCATTCGACGTATAAAACGACGATTGTAAAATACAAAATTTTAACATTCAACAATCAATTAAAGCGGATGAGTCGTCACCTGCGCATGCGTCAAATGGCCATAGCGAGTCATTGTTTACAAACAAGCGCCTTTGCGCTTTAGCGTGTGTTGTTGTCGTCGCTTGGGACTCAATTCCCGCGCGTGTGCAGGTGACGACCCTCCCGCTTTAAGCATCTATTATGTTAATTAATTCACCAAAAGTGTTTGAAACCCAGGCATCCGACGTGCAGTGTATGCGCTACACCAATAATGGAAATAAGACAATTCTAAAGCTTCACCTCGAGCCCTGATGTCCCGTTCCCACTTGATCAGTTCCTCAATTTGGTCACGTGACCGGACTACACCAAATGCCCGATGGTTCCATGCGTTCCATCGCTTTGTCACTTGTTGAAGTTTCTTGTGGAACTCTTCGACGAAGTCTGCTGGTACGAAGGTTCTCAGTTCTTGTTCAAACGCCGAGCATTGCTCCGCCAACCAAACTTCCCTCACCGTCTGTGAAGTCACGGCGAGATCGTCTATCTGCGTGTACAAAAACAAACTTTTGCGTGAGTGGTGAAAATAAGTTTTAGGGTGGACTATTAAGTTCTGCCGAAGAACTGGACTTAATATTGGTAGACAATTCGCATGAACATTTTGATATACACGACAAATTTCTTTTTTTAAATGCTGGAAATGAAAATGCCACGTGTTCCCGTACAGAAAAATAAGTTGGCGGACGGTAAATACGCAAATGTCAAACTATGTCACCTCAATCAAAATAATAGTTCAGCACTTCTATGAATGTTGTTCAGTTTAACAGTATTCGCGTCACCGCCATATCCGGTTCAAAAAACTTGGCAAGTAATATCGATAACCTGACCCCGAACTTTGGCAGTCAAGTTGAAGTTTTATAAAGAGAAAACAACTCATAAATTTGATGACCTCATACAATGACAAACATTATTTTTGGCATTCCTGGCAAATATCCAAGGCTGGGTCGTCTCTCAATTAAATGACGTCTTTCCGTCCTTCTTGGCATCGATTGATGGAGTTGATGATGTTTCTTTAGCTCCATGATGATGAATCAATTCACACCTCGCAGAACAGTTCTCCGAGTGAGTGAGTTTCCGGTAGAACACATACAGAAAGTGAATTTGTGTGGAGTACTGGGCAACAAAAACACGTTTCAAGCACCGACAATCAAAGATTTAAAACCATTTTTGCTCATATGATTTTGTTCTTGTGCTTTGACTTATTTCCGACTCCTTATTAAATTTCACTTTTGAGGCAACATAATTCTTTAAATTATGTACATTATGTACATTATCACTGTATACCGTTATAGTCACGTGATATTTAATTTGAGAAGTCATAAAACGTAAGAATGAAATTTAACTACACGTGTTGTTGTTTTGAAGGACACTGGTGGTGCAGCTGACAAAAGGTTTCCCTCAAGTACTCAATACATCATTAATGTGACAAGACGGGGGTCATGGAGAAATAGTACGTGGATATTTGAACCTCCGTGTTAGCCTGTCATATGGTATATTAATGGGAGAAGTGTATTTAAGTTAGACACACCCGAATTCTGCATATATTATAAAAGTTGAATAGCTGGAAATTATGACTCCATGAATTTAAAAATCAACTATTTCGTTTCGTATTTTTAAACTTTTTAAGTTGCGCTGGAAGGGGTCTGCTACGAAGAGTTTGTTCTGTTAAAATTGTTTACATAAAAACAGTTCCGCCGCCGTTGCAACATTTGCGAACATTTGGGTCTAAATGGTACACAGTAATATATTTGAATTAATAAATGCTTTAAAATATAATGTAAAAAAGGCCGAGCAAACGGAATATACTTACCTGCGATCACGTCCAATATGGTTGAGGCATATGATTGAATAGAAATGAACTAAAATAAAATGAAAGTAAAATAAAATAAGGACTTACGAAATATTCTTTCATGGTACACAGGCGTCGGAATCAGTAATCAAATTAGGCAGTTAAAGTCCGCTCACAGCACCTGAAAAATATACAAGTGTATAAAACGAATATAACTGTGTCCTTTTTGGAAATTTGCATATTTTACTTCATGAATATTCATGACTGTCCACAAAGTTGCGCAGACGACAGATATTCTTCCGAAAAGTATGACAGTTTAGACTCATTTTAATATGAGTGGCGTGTATTCTTTATCTGATCATTTCAATGTGGGAAGGGGTCGTGGTTAATTTAATACAGCGATACAACATGTGCATGTAAAAAACGATATAACATGAAACTATTGGTCGGTCCGATGAAGGAGGTCTTGCAAGGGTATTTTTGTTTAGTGTTTGATAACGTCCATCGAACCAATATTTTAATCCCACTCTTTCCCGTATGTTTTATCATAAATGTATAATGACAAATTACGATCGCCACCATGCGGTCCAAGGCGATCACGTGCTCAACCAATCATATTCAGTGAAATTTCTCAATTGTGTGCCTAACGTCAGGGTTAGTGATTCTAAAATTTTGCCAGCCCTGCCAGAAAGTTACTAGCCAAGCGACGATTATTTTAAAATACTAGTACCCCGTTTCCATTTCAAGTAAGCGTGACAAAAACTCAACATTCAGCCAACTCACACAACGGATAAACTATAAATCTTGCCTTTTGTTTCACGTGTCTGTGCCATCAGAGGAGAATTGCGTTTAAATAATATTATTTAGTAAGATTGAAGCAGATTATGAACACATTTCACTAGATCACCGGGCATGAGTGTTTTATTGTTTACCACCATGAACTGGAAAATTACCCGTCTCGAGCAGACGGTAACTTGAAACACTCACAGTACGTGATACATGGCGCAGATATGAACACCAATTTGACTCGAGTCAGAGCAAGGTTTTGTACTCAAAATTTGCATTATAATATGCCTCAATTAGGCATTGGAAGTAACTATAGTGTTTCTATTAAAATCGATCGTTATTATTAGATATAAAACAACTGTTGACGCAATCTGTACTCACCATAAAACGAGACCTCGTGGTGAAACACCACAAGGGAAATCTGGAAGCTATTATTTGAATGAAATATTAGTCATATAAGAAAAATACGTAGTATGTCAATTTGAATTATTGTAAACGAATGTTTTCAAGACTGACAGTTAGTACTACTAAATCAAACTATTCGTCTCAATTCCCTAGTTTCTAAAACGATAACAACACAGCAACAGATAATACCGATCGAAATTAGGTTGTTTTGTTTAAAATCAGTGTGGTGAAAACGATTAATGTTCAATGTCATGTCCAAATCACGGATAATTATCTGCGTTTCAACATTACAACACTAGTGCATGTCTTGGCATTGGACAGGGTCAATGTCACAAGTAAACTGATAAATGGCGACAACAAATATACTTAACCGTTTCTCGGAAGAAGAAACTATTCACTTGACTCGGACGATATAAATAAAACCTATACGAATGATTAAAATAGGCCAGAACAACGCCACAGATTCACCGCCGTGTCGTATTTCCATATTTATAAACACGTGTATTATTTCACGTACCTTGTCAAGCTTTGACATCACGTACTTATATTAGCGTTAGCACAAGCAAAAGTGCAGTATGGAGAGAGTTTCAAATTCAAACATAATAAATCATGATAGCATTTATGAAGAATATTCAAATTGGTTCAGGCGCCAAATAACGTATAGTTATTTTTTTAGCACAGATAGTGAGACGGGCAAACATACAATACTACAAAGTTTTACTTACCCGCGTTGAGTTGTATGTTTCAACGATGCGCACGGCGTATGGTCACAGAATGCCTTGTCAGTCGAAATTAAACGTCCACTTGTTGTGGTTAAAACATAGGACGCTGGTGGCGTAATGTTTCCTGTGACATTGACCTCATTAAACAGGGCTTGGGACAAAAAGAAGGCCATTCCACAATGCCACAGGTCGTAAAATACGGAAAACGAAATTGGTTTTGTAAAACATTCAAGGAGAACCGGCGAAAATAAAATGCTTCAATATCAAACGTGAATGCACTTTATTTTTAGTTTAGCGGAAGAGACATGAGAACATAAATATATAATATATGATATCGTTATATCGACGCGATTTCTGTCTCATCAAAATACGAAATCACCGTCATAATACATAGCGACTTTGATATACAACTTGAACAAAAGTTAGTAGCGCTTTGCTGTGACATTTTACGTGAGTTTACAACAAAGGGCATGAGGCCTAGGCGAGTAAGTATATAAATCATGTCTCGGATATAAGCGAGACTGGATATGAATTGAAATATGGGTCCGATAGACGTCATCAATTATGCAAGGAATATTCATCGATATCGCTACATCTATATTTGGGATGACGTCATCGATATATATAATATATTGATAATATAATATGAGGCGTTGGACCGATGGGAATCATGTTTTTTTTTTAATTTTTATTATTATTTAATTTTTTTATATATGAGTTTTACCAACATGAATTTCCCATACTACTATGAACTTGAAAGAAGGGAAGATAACGACTGGGTGAGACACTGCACTCGCAGTTAAATATAGTAATGTAAAACAAACTCAATATAAATATTACTATATTCTATTATATTCTAACTTTTTAAAAATAAATACCTTACCTGTTTATGGTAAAACCGAGTTCGGTGAAGACTGGATACTGGATCACAACCTGCTCATCATGGCAAAAGCGTTCAGCAGCTACAATAGACTGTTATCAACGCAGACAACTGTTTTTACTCCGGGTATTTGAAAGAAACTAATAATATAATTGCATGGTATGTTAGCTTGTAAATACCCCTCCCAGGATATCATTTCAAATTCCGTAATTCTTTTTCAAGAACTGAGAAAGATTGATGAATGCCGTCGTTGTAGTTGTTCAAGCGCGGCATCCTGGAATTGCCGGTAATCAACAGGTGGTAGTGCAACTAGTACTATGCCGCCATACAATGACCGTCAAATGACACGTTATGCAAGTTACTTTCTCAGGCTATCATGATAGAGTAATTGCTTACGGAGTTTGACAATTGTTGAATGACGTCTGAACGCAAAAGGGTATGCAATACTTACGAAAAAAAGTATGTCTGTATCTGTCGACTTTGCTGCTACTAGAAATATGTTTGCTCCTTGACTATGAACTTGATGTAACACCTAGTTTACAGTGTGAAACACAGTATTGTACTTACCTATTTCCATGACAACTGCACCTTGATACGAAAAAGCTCTAAATGTAGAAGAGTAGCGATAACACTGTTTCAGCTCGGTGTAGGAACAACGCACTGCCGGCGTTCGATTGGTTCCAAGTTTGATCGTCAAACAGCGTTGCTGTGAAGCATGAGAGCGCGCTATGGTCAGTTCAAATTCGCTGCTTCCCGATGTCCTTTGCGAACGGCATCTTGTGGCTTAGTGTGCCAGTGCCATGCCAATTGAAACAACAACCTGCTAATTGTACAAACTGAATCCCGGTCCTGGGTCACGGAAAAAATAACACTTACCAGTTTATCAAGACGTATTTAGAAAACATTCAATCTAAAAACGCACTTCTATAGTATCCGCACGGTATCGAAAAGGCATTCAATGGGCGCTGCATGGCCACAGGGCTTTGTAACACTGTGTGCGAGGGCATTTTTGTAGGAATTCATTAAATATGTACACATATAATTGTATTTCACTTAGTATACCCAATTTATACTATACCAATGTCAATGTCTTTCAAATAGCATATTTTATTAATAACGAGTAAATACACGTCACTGTATATTTAATTATGTCCGTACGGGCTAATCGGGTAGAGAGTGACGTAATGTACGGAAGACATTGCAATAATTTAGTAAGTCAAATACATCGTCATAAATATTTCAGTAATTTTGATCTTAGATGTGCCCGGGTTAGCGTGTTGCCTAGTAACATGGAGATCATTACTAGACTTGCATACAGTCTCTTGTTTATTTTTTTGGTGTTTTTGTTAATAAAATAAAATATATCATGGGAGTGTGTAAATGGAGATAGGTAGGTTACTTGATTCATATGATACTGTATGGAAAACACGCTCTGTTGCTGTTAATTTTGCGAGATATTTGGTTATGGCGCGTTACTACAATTCAGCTTACCCTATACAATTCAATGTGAAAACTCGAACAACATTGCTATTTTCAGTCTGATTAAATCCGATATAGATATAGACTTCATTTTTTTTATTTTTTTTTAATTTCATGTTTATTGTATGATATGTCGCAGTCAAATATTCAACAAGAACAAAAGTGTTTTTTTCAGTTTCTAAAATCATAACAAATTGTGAACACTAGGATCACAGATTTTGAAAGTCACAAAAATAAAGCCAGTGATGCTACTCTGGTATATGATTGTTAGAAGGTGAAATAAGCCGAATGTATTTATCATTTGTCAAATGTATCTGTTGACTGTGACAGTGTCATAGTGCGGACTACAGCCTCGATCAGAGCTGGTACTTCCTGTGAGCAACCTTCACAGTGTAATGTACCTGTAAAGCGCCCACGTGTTCGCGTTGATAGTGATATCTGATTGTGCGAGCGGACAGTTTTACAGTTTGATTTCTCTTGCTCGTTCCTTTCACTAGATATGATAAAAATTGTGTTTTAAATAAAAAAACAAAAACAAATGCAAACAACATTCTAAACCAACACAGCAACTTTTCAAGACACTATTTATAAATTTGTTTTATAAATACTATTTACTAATATTATGTATATGTCGCCCAGATTCGATGAAATAAGCCGTCATATAATATTTTAATGAAACATTTCATTTGAAATTATCCGTTATACAATTGTAATACATTCAATAAAAACAACCCAATTTTTTTCCAAACCAACCGCCTAACCACATTCTATAAATAAAAACAAACTCGATCAGAAGTTACTAGTATCCGCAGCCTAGTTTCCCCATAACCTTTTTGAAGTCAGTTCTACTAATATTATAAATACAAAGCTTTGAATATGCTTACGGAACACCTGGTAACAATCCACCATGTACACCGTCTGTTAAACAACCCAAGACTGAATTAGTCTAATAGCGACCATAGTTAGACGATTTTTTTTTAAACATTGACGTATTTTTTAATAATTTTAAATTAAACACCAGGACATGGACTAGTGGCTCGACATATTCAAGGTCGACATTCCTAGCCTGGATGTTGATCAGAAATACAGAAGTAGTTTAAGGTAGACATACTGAGTTCTCTGTGTCCATTCATATTTTATGGCCTTGAACTGTTCAATTTTTTATAACGAAGAATGTTTTTGTTTTTTTGTATCCATGGGAAAATATTTAGTGATCTGAGACCTGATGTATCTATGCGCATGCGTATTAGTCTATCAACGTTCCACCCTTATAAGGCTCGGTATATTCAAGATACTGACCTCTTGTAGGTTTGTGTATTCCTCCGCCACGTTATACAGTTCCTATCGAACCACGCGGTTCGTACGATTTACTCTGTTTTATAGGATTTTGCCAGAGAGTGCGAAACTTTGCCGAAATACGTTTTGTAGAAGAAATGTGCGAATAGCATAAAATAACTTAGGTACATAATTCCACCACACGTGAGGTTGAGATTGCTGACGTCACATCGAATTCCCGCCATTTTCATCACGCATGCGTAGATAAGAACACCACAACCGAAGATCATCTGGCTAATTTGCATAATGGTTATAGAGATCTGAATATTCACCGGCAGACGATAACCAGTCGATCTGATGGCGTAATACAGGTACATAAATGCGTGGACTATGAAATTCATTGTCAAAAACCAGTAGGCGGATGAGGCAAGTTCGCAATGACATAGACAGCAGTAAATCAAAACAGTGGCGTGATGATACCAATGTAAAAATATTAATTTCTGTTTTCGTAAAACTACGAACAGTGTATCAATCAATTCGAAATACTTAGAATGCACAAACACAACACCCCAGAACTTAAACGCCGACACGACACCCGGTAAGTAATACGTATGGTCACACACGGATCGATATAGGCCGTCTTCTTTCACGATTAGATAGAGCATTGTGGTGCTTCGTACAGCGCCGATTATGCTGAATATTGCGAGCGCTAAATTCCACGCCACCAACGGTCGTCGAAGATGAAACTTGGGTCGATCTCTCATATAACGTTGTATAGTAAATATGACTACGACATAGATAACACTGGCGTAGATTGAATAATGCCAATAATCGCGCATATGCTCAATCCAGGTGCCCACGTCCACAAGCTGTCTCTCTAGCTCGTATTCTCGTCTCAGAAACGTAGTCTTGGCGTGACCGTTACCCAACGAGGCGAGTCGTACCATCTCACCGTCGGCATATTTACCAATACTGTCCATTACGCTGTAAAACGATAAAGAAAACACAATAGTAATATAGACGTAAATTCACGACCAGAAATGGAATTAACTCCCGGGAATTAACTATACCAGTACAACCACCCTATCGATTGTTATACCCATAAGTCGATAGAAACTGACGTCATGGTGACGTAAAACTGATATAGCAGGAATTAATATCAGTCTTGTACATATACATGCTACCTTAATCTGAATTATGTGCATAAAAATAGATATAACCCTTTCATCGAAACCGGCCTTTGACCCGTGCATATTTATTTTATCGTTTCCACGCTCGCCATGCCCGCAATCATATAGTAACGTACGACGACACTGGTGTGGGATCAGTAGTGTTTACTCCATGTGCTACTACCACGTGACAGTCGCGAGCGCGTGCCTGCGTTGTCATGGCATAGTGGAACCCGAAATAAGCGGCAAGAATACATAATGTTTGAGTACGTTGCGATTCTGTTCGTAGTGGGTTGTATCCTAGCAACCGTTGCATAGTACGCTCTGAACGCCAAGAGTTCTACCGTGGTATTACTGAGGTAAGGTCGGAAGGTCACAAGTCAAACCGTTGAACAGGTTTACTCGTAGAAGTGAATGATCTTCTATTTAATCTCAGACATCTAATTAGTTGTCTGAGATTTAATTGATTAAGAGTTAACCTTTAACCGAATACGTTTCAGTTTGCTTCACTACCCTGCATTCGGCACAAAACGAGCCTTTAAAGCGCGGTGGTCGTCGCGCAGCGCGTGATCGAATTTCATGTAAATAAACAATGTATTTTACATGCGTTGTATACGTCGATATGAGTCCCATATCGAACAGGGCGCGGCGCGACGGCTGCCGCCCTTCAAGAATGTATTATTACATTCATAATATTTATCTAGGGTGGGATTTGGGGTTAAACGCGTATCGTGGTTAAAAAAATGTGACTGGTGTGTGTTTGTAGGGGTCAACTGAAAGAAATGTACATATATGAGTATTTTTTTTCTTGTTCTTCGTGACATCAGAACACATCAACCACAATTGCCTAAGGCCAGTGAATTTCTGTCCGTATACGAACACTCATTGACTCGGACTGTAGACGAGTGTAATAACACAGAGGAACTGTGGTAATAATTAACTGTTGGATACTGTGTAATTGTAGTAGTCAGAAACAGAGGGTATCTCCGTCGGTGCACACGTGCTGTACAAGTGGCATTCTACCACGTTGTACAAGGGTCATGTATGATAGGTTATGTGTATTAATAGTAAAATATGTTTACAATAATAGTAAATGAACCAAAATAAGAAGACTGTAAAATGCTGGTAGATATGTAGCCTCGTCAGGTGGTGCATAGTTGGTATGTGTATCGACCATGAGAAGGCATAGTGAAAACACGGCCTCTTTGTCACGGCCTCTTTGTCATGGTTTCTTTGCGACATATGGCGGAGCACCGCCCGGCCCGGGAGATGGGACGGCTGTACTTCCACGGAAATGTACCAGGGACGCACCATCTGGACCACTAAAATCCCTATCCATTTCCAGACAGCCGTAATGGGAAAGTGAATACTTCTTCCATACGTAATAGAATGAGCCGTGGTTTTCCAACCACAAATAATTCAGTATTTTTGATGTTTCTAGAGCGGATTTTGTTGTTTAAAGGTTGCACAACGTGTTTTGGAATATAGTTGAAATAACCCCCTTTGGCGAAAAATCAAAAAAATAATCCAAAAATATAAAAATATGGTGGCTGCAAGAGTCGTTACTTAGACCCCAGCAGTCTTTACCAGTGTTTGAAATAGCTATCAGTCTATGGTGGGTAACCTTTTATTCGGACGGGATAAAGAAGAAGGTTTACTGTAAAATATTGCGAGCTGTCTATGGTCTATTCGTACAGCGAAATGGTCTTCGGACAAGCTACTAACTCCAATACAATTGTATAGGAGGGAGGTATTACGTCATAAAATAATGATTGCAAGCCACTGACGTGCCAGATCTCAAAGCTCATGGGTAAGCCCTGCACAGTCAGAATACACAATACAGACGATATATTTATAAACTATAAAACGTTAGTTTATCATACATTAGGATATACGATATATAGAACTGTTGACGATAAACGACTTACATCGTGTGAAAACAACATGCGTACGTTATTCTCCACGATTGTGGTAACAATAGCGACGGAGCTCAAAATTGGTTCTGAAATTGTCAAAAAAAAGAAGAAATCGTGACATAAATACACACTTCCGAGGCTGACGCTACTGTACTTTTGAGAATGAAGATTCACCAAAAAAAGCACATTTTAGCACAAAATGCACAAAATAAATATGGTTCTGGTCGGCACCAACGAAAAACAGCTTAAGATGTAACAACTACGGGAAAATGGCCATGCCTAGTAGTGAGGTGATTGACCACAAAATTGAAGGCTGCTTGTGGCAAAGGTACTATTGCGTAAAGCGCAAAGACCTATGGGAAAGAGATTGAGTACCACTATGATGCATCGACCAATCAACGACAAGCATAATATCGTGTGGTGGCAGAAATATATTCGTACCTGCCTGGTAGATTGGAAATGAGTTAAACAGTTTGTTATTTCTCTGTGGTTCTTTAGTTCAATGGCGTAATATAGTTTCCTCCTCGACGCGCATGAGTTAATTCTCGTTGCCATTGACAACACATACGAGAAATGGGCATACTAGTATCTGTAATGTTATGCCCCTAGAATTAAAATGAAGTGGAACCGGATAAAAACGATTTTCCTCAATTTCTCAGGTACTATCTACGTAGATTGACTTCCGGTCAACAAAAAATACGAAATGTCAGGCTGCTATTTTACTACTACAAACGTTTTTCAGAAAATTTAGAAAACGTACTTTACGTTTATACACGCACAGACAATAATTTTATATCTTTGCCTTCTTGGTAGCCGTTCAGACCGAGGGCTCCATCATATTTATACTTAGACGTCAAATTGAACCCTAGATAATAGCCATTTTGTATAATTAGCGGATTAGTGTTTTGATTGCCACATCGAATGCTCATGCAATCAGCGAAACTTGTATTGTGTAGCAGTTTTTATAGCCCCACGTGACGTCATTATCCAACGTTTACTGCCCGCGCGT